TATAATGCTTAAAATAAAAATACACAATATAAAGAATAATATTTTATTAATAATAATAGACTGGAACAAAAATCATATTTGCTCTCCAAACTGAGAGATGGGGAAGAGAAGAAAGAGAATCCAAACAGATTGTTTTCATCACCTTTCATCATTTTATTTCTAAAGTTAATTGAGAAATATAAATGTAAGCATATTATTTAAAACAGACTTTACAACTTGCAAATTGCCAGAATGTAGAAGGCAGCCTTCTAAAATGGCTCTGAATATTCACCACTGCCTGGTATTTATGCCCTTGTGTGTAGGCTGAACCTAATAACTTGCCTCTAACGAAGAGAATGTGGAAAAAAAAAAAAAAAAAAAAAAAATGGTGGGCTTAAAAAAATGATGGGCTTTCACTTCTGAAATCAGGCTATAAAAGACTGTGACTTCCGTCTTGCTTACACTCTTCTCTGACTCTTCTCACATACTTGCTTTGATAAAGCCAGCTGCCATGTCGTGAGCTACCCAATGGAGAGACCCATGTGGCAAGCAACTGAGGCCCTGAATCCTGCTATTCTTTTACCAACTCCAGATATTTTCTTAAATATCCACTTCTCAATGAAGTTTACGCTGATCTCTATATTTAACATTTCAACCCACATCCTCTCTTGTACTCCCTACTCCCTTTATCCTGCTTTGATTTTTTATAGCACTTACCACTTCCTAATGTACTACAGAATTTACTTATTTAGTTTATGTTTATTATTTATAGTCTGCCTCCCCCATACTCATATTATAATATTAGCTCCATAAGGGCAATAAACTTTTTCTTTTGTATACATTGATGTATCTCAAGTATTTACAGTAAGCAGGAACTCAAGAGATATTCATTGACTGAATGAATAAATGGTTCTCAACCTTGTCAATGCCCCCTTTTAATAATAAATATGAGATGATATCCTCTTTACAGTGGTGAAGTGAAAGTCATAAGCTTCCTACACATGTAATTTTTAAAAATTAAAGAAGTGCCTTAACTGTAATATAAAGGAAAAAGTAAAGAAAGTAATCTACTTTAAAATAATGTGTGATTCAATATAACTGCTCAGGCATCTCTGAACTAAAAGACACAATATAGTAGCTGGATACCTGCATCCATCTGTAGAAGTACTATGAAATGGATAGCCACAAAACGAATTGTATTGGTGATTCAAATTCCATGAATGATATTGCCATTCGATTTACAGTATTCCAGGAAAATTCAATATATACTAAAACTGTGTGAAAACCCTTTATATGTAAAATAGATTCTAGGCTCAGATCATCATTACCAGGTTTTTCACATACACGAATGAGCAATGGGACAGTCACGTCACACAGGATGTGGAACAATTCTTTGCTGTGCAAGACTGTCCTGGGCAATGGAAGATGTCTAGCATCTTTGGTCCCACCAACTATATTCCAATAGCGGCCCCTTCCCAATCACTGGGACAAGCAAACTCACTCTGGTAAATTTCCAGAACCACGCCTAGAGGCAGCTCCATCCCAACAAACCCATGATCTACAGATCCAGCAGCTTTGTTTCTGTTGTCATTGGCCACCTCTCTACAGCATCCGACCTGTCGTTGAGCTCCTTCTCACCTCTCCATCCTCCCTGGCTTCCATGTCGCTGCACTCCTGCCGCTTTCCCTTTCTGCCTTCATCAGTTTCTGCCTGGTGTCATTGTCTGACTCCACCCCTGCTGCCCCTCATTTCTCTTCTCTACACAGGCTCTTCAGCTACCTCTCCTAAGTAAGTGACTCTCAAATTCCATTCCATACGGAATATTCAAATCCACACTTTCAACTGCCACTTGGTCATTCACATCCACTGAGCCTGAAGTTATACATGTCCAAAATCAAACTAGTCATCTTCCTCCAAAACCTGTTATCCCATCAGTTGTATCTATTTAAGTGAATGGCAACATCACGCACTTACTCAATCGTCTTTGGTCCCTATTCTCATTTTCCACATCCAGTTGATTACACGGCTCTGTCCATTTTCCCTCCCAAATATCTCCTTTGCTTCCTTTCTATCACCATAGTTCAAGCGATCGTCATTACCTGTAGCTTAGAGCATTGTCAGTCTCCTAACTGGTACTTCCATTCCCATTTATCTTTTGATGCTTCCACAAAAGGAGTTTCTGCAGATAATAATAGTAGCTAAAATCTGTACAGCCACAGCAGAAAGTAGAAACTGCTAACTGGTACTTCCATTCCCATTTATCTTTTGATGCTTCCACAAAAGGAGTTTCTGCAGATGATAATAGTAGCTAAAATCTGTACAGCCACAGCAGAAAGTAGAAACTACAGTAGTATTATTTAAATTTAAAAGAGAGGTTAAGTAACTTACCTTAGGTCACAAAGCTAGCTCAGAAGTGACAACACCAGGACTCCAGGTCTATTTGGCTTCTAAAATCCCTGGGGTTTTTTGTTTTGTTTTGATACAACTTTCTCATATTTCCTGTAGCCTAATTACAATCTTCTGTTCAGTCTCTATCCCTATCCCATCTGCCTCTTCCTTCCCCTTCCATTCTTCCAATCCGTAGGTTCTTCTGGTTTTACTTATGCCCTTATTTTGTAAGGATTTACTCATTAGCCATTTCGAGAAAGTCCTTCACCGCAGGCCCCTCTTCTTTCGCTGTGTCCACCACACCTGTCCCCAGCCCTCCGCCCCTCTCTTCCCTGCTAAAGGAAGGACTGGAGAAGGAAATGGAGAGTGTGCAGGGTGGCCCCAGCCTCCGCACCTGCGGACACGTACACCTCCCTGCATCTTTAGCTTTTCTCCGCCTAACGCCCAGTGCTGCTTTACGGTCCTAATATAATGAATCAATTAGATAAAAAGTGCTTTGTAAAGGAAGGAGTGCTGTAGAGCGCTCCATAAACGTACAGTACAATTACTCACCCTCCCTGCATGCGCAGGGTTTCAACCGAGTTATTCTGTGAGCAACACAATAGGTGTTTCAAGCAGAGAATCCACATGTGTGTTCGGGGTGAAGGGAGAGTAGAGCCCTAAGTAATATGAACTCGACCCAGGAAATTTCTACTTATCATTATTGCCGAAGTCCAGCTGAAAACTTCATCAGGGTTGTCATGAGCGAGTAACACAGGAAGAAAATGGTATTAACCCTGAAAACCCTCACTTTAAAAATCTCTCGAGGAGGATCCCCTCCCCCCCAGCTCCCTAGAAGTTTTAAGTCACCGCCTAGGTCTTCTCTCATATCCCCAGGCCCCTGTCCGGGTCCGTCCTTTTCTATATGTAGGAAGAAATGCTTGGAAAAACTTCACAGAATCATTTCTCCTGTGAGTGTGTCTAAGGAAGAGTTGGTTGTAACTACATTTTCTTTGCCTCTTTCCCTTCAAGAGTGGTGAACTGAACATGCTTTTGTTTTGAGCAATGCTGTCAGGACACCCTCCTCCCCTCACCCCTGCCCACAGGACTCACAGGCCAGCCCCCTCGCATTTGGATTCAGTTGGAGAATAGTTCAGGAATTTCATATCAAGTCCAAAAGCATTATGGAATTTGTTAGAGGAAGGAGCTCTTTATCTACATGAGAGTCTGTCGTTTTGGTCGGCAGTGGTGAAAAATCCACATGCCTAACCCATAATCAAAAAATGGTACTCAAAAATATTTGAACACTTAGAATTAGCCCCTAAATTATTACTGTTTGCTTTTTCAAGGGGCGATGGCAAAGATGGGTAGAGAGAGCACTTGAAATCTTTCTTAGTGAGTGATAATCTTTCAGGTAGTTGAAGATTTCCACATCATTCCTGGAATAAATAAGGGGAAAATTTTTGACTTTGAAATTTAGGTTCCAAATTTAGATCATAGTTGCTAATCTCCTAGTGCTTTTAAAGTTTACTAAAGAAAAAGGAGGCAGGCAGTCTTCTCAATTCTGCCTAAAATCTACATGGCATTATAGCAACAAATAACTTTTTCCAGGATTCTTCTGGGGAATCTGTATTGTCTGCCCTATCTTAAGTGGTTTTGTGGACATTTTCACCTAAAAGTGTCCAAATGTTGATTGGTGTTAATTTCAATGAAGCAGGAACCATGTATGTTTTCTGTGTATGTGCAGAGCATTAATGGGATCGGAATGCTCCCCTGGAGCAGTGGTTCCCAGCCAAGCAAAGGAACTGTGAGTCTGACCAGGGTGACAATCAAAAGATATTGCCCAGTCTGTACTTCACCTCCTCATTTCTCGATTGGAATGGAGGATGGTGGTGGGAAAGACTATGAATTTGGGGGTTGGCACAATATCTTCTTATTCATATGTAACTAATTGAGTACCAGGTACTCACAAATTGTAAGTGTTGATTGAATTTGTTGAATTACGCTTTTTGTGCAACTGGGATAAACGGTTAAAATTAAACCTCCCAGATCTAATTGTTTTGCTTTGTAGAGTAAAGTTTAGTTTGTTCCAGTTTGAATATTTGCTTGCTTCATTTGGTAGGCTGAATGCCAAAATAAAAGAATGTGGGCGTTTTCAGGAGATCTGGTCATCTATTTTGCATCCTCTCTGAAATATGCTACTTCCTGTATAATGAAGTAAAAGGACTTGCTGCTGGGCAGTGCTTTCCTTATTCTTACAAAGAGATTACTTAAAAGCCAGCACTGAGAATTTTGTCCATGAATCTCTATTAGGAAAAAAGAGCAACACAGAACTGCAGCTTCTGAGCTTTCACTGGTTATACCCCATAAGCACTGAGTTCTTTCCCTTATTTTTCCCATAGGGGAGAAAAAGAAATAGTTTGAAACATATTTATGCTCAGACCAACAGCAAAGACATAACATGCAGCAACAGTGAAAAGGAGGGAGAAAATAAGAGGCTATTGGGACAGCTTGATTTTCTTTTCGCAAGACAGGTGCGGGGAGAATTCTGCAGTTTTTGGACTCGTGATTCATTCACTTCCAGTAATTGTACTGAAGGTAGTTAGCAAAAGTGAACAGGCACACTGTAGCTTTAAAAAGTCAGCCATGAACCAGAAGGCAGTTGGTGCAGCTTGTGTGTGATTCCTAACGTCATGTTGGCTGAGAGCCAGCCTGGTTTTATTTCACTGTGTCAAATTGTACCTCCTTATTGAATTCCTTTGCCAGCCTACTTTGTGAAAGAAAACATTGGGGTTTCTTTGGCTGTTCTTGATAAGCCTATAAAAAATGACATGTTTTAGTTGCTTATAGGTAGGTTTTCTTTTTACTCTTCCACACAAAAAGAAAATAATAGTAATAATAATAGGACAATGTAGTGTGATGTTGCAGAGTATCATTGTGTTTTGTTTTGTTTTGTTTTGTTTCTGAGATGCTTAGAAAATGGTGAATGTGTAGTAGTTTCCAACTGAAGTGAAATCATTCTTTTAGCATGGAGCAGCAGCACTATCTTCCTGTCTACTCTGGAACGGTGTGTGAATGTATGCTGATAGCTATGTGTATATTAAATGCTGGGTTTCTCTATCAATGATCTAAGTGGTTTAGCAACTGAAGTTTCTGTGTGTGTGTGTGTGTGTGTGTGTGTTTCAGGAGTGAAGATTATCCCACACTTACAATGTTATTTGTTAATCATCTACTTCTCTAACAGTGATAAAATCTTATGAATATACTAAATGATGCACTTGCCATGTCAGAGTAATCCCTAGAGAAGGAGTGCCGAAGTATAAAGTGGTTTCAGAGGAAATGTGTTTAATTTATGGCTTCAGCTGAATAAGAGCAAACACATTTCAGGACTAGTTTTTTCTTTTTCTTAAAGCAGTTTTGTTCATAGTTTTTTCATCTTGCTAATTGCATATTAATTTGGAGGTTTTTATTTTTTCACAGTTCTCATCCTACTAAACAAAAAGAGTGATGGATGCTACTACATCTCCTTAAATGCTTTGATGATTTTACATAAATCTAGTGAGCTGCCTCCCCTCTCTTACACACACACACACACACACACACACACACACACACCCAGCACCACCTTTCTGTGCTAAAGGCTATCTGGTATTTTCGAAAGACGGGTTTTTGAGGCTTTCGTTGAGAATATGTGAGGTAGGGGAATACTTGCTGACAAAAGCTTTAAGTGCCCTTCTGTATTGCAATGAAAAAAATCTAGAAGCAGGGGAGTGGACAAAAACCAAATACAATAAGGAAAAAAAAAAAATCACAGCCCATGGTGGGAGGGGGCAGGAAAAGGGGGATTGTTTTTCTCTACTTTGGCTCATTTGTGAGTTACAATGTCTTAAGTGAGAGCTTGGCACCCAGAGGAAGCCGTGCCAGTTCACACAGCACTTGTTTTGAGCAAGGATTCAATTTCATTTGCAAATGCTTATTGTCAAGGCAGGGAGTGCCAGTACAGATGAAAGCACCCCAATCCGTCTCCTCTGGTCTTTTAGGTTTAATCACATCTCTCCAATCACTGAGGGAACTGGAGATATAAACAAACATACGTGAACTGGTGTGAAGCTGTAAAAGGGACCATTATGTTTCCGATTAAGAATATATATTCTTGTCTCACTTTCTAAGAATTAAACACAAGCTTTTCTCCCTTATTGATTAGTTGCTGAAGTAAAGGAACCCTGCAGTCTTCCCATGCTATCTGTTGACATGGAAAACAAGGAAAATGGCTCTGTCGGTGTGAAAAAGTAAGTGAAGCTGGCTTCTGAGTTCTGCTTCTGCAAACAACAGAGGGACTTGGTTTCTATTTTTATACTTCTTGCTTATCTACTACAATATACAGTTTGGGGATTGTCTTGTTTTGTCTGTACTGGCCATCAGCCTCCCTTTTCCCCCAAACCCCAGTTGCCTTTTTCTGTATTCCATTTCTAAAACAGAGATGACTCAGGTATCAAAATGTGCACAAAAGGTTAGTGTATCAGGCTTTGGAACAAGGACAGTTGAAGATTTCAGTCCTGCATCCTGTATATGAGTATTGAAATAAGAACTCCAAGCAAGCATAGACTCTGCCTTCCAAGTCCACAGGCTGCAAGGGTGAGGGCAGGAAATAGAGTCTGAGTTTTGTTTTTTTGTTTTTTGTTTTTTTTTTTTTTTTAATAAAATGACCTCTATCAAAACTGAGAAGAAAGGGAAGAAGCTTCAGTAAGAATACTGAGCTTAACAACTTCTCTTTCCTGATCTTATGGACTGTTCCTTGAACGTGAAACATTTCAGTGCATATCATGGTGTTCTATTTCAATGTCTGCTCTCGTATTTGAAACTTCTTATTATATCTTTTGTGTGAGTTATATGCTTGATTCTTTTAAATAGGAAAATTCAGTTGCATTATGTAGCATAATATTCTGAAACAAAACAAAAAGCTAACTTGCAAGATATCTGAGTACATGAAAAAAATGTATATTCTCATTTAGGAATTATATAGAGGCTATAACCACTTTGATTACAAAAAGAAAGTAAGTTCCAAGAGGGTATTATCGGTTTCATTTCTTTCCATGTCATTTAGTTTAAAATTGCTGTCAATTTGAGCTTTGGAGGAGACTAATTAGGTGTAATCCATAGAAGCTGTAATATCTAAATGAGGAGACAGTGTGCTATATGTTTATGAATAGAAAGTGTATTTTGCTTCACAGTGAAATTATATTAAATTTAACTTAATAAAATCTGCTTTTTAAAATTCTTAGGTAATTTATATGTTAGTGCCATACTGCCATGCTTATTCTAACAGTGTGCTATATGTTTATGAATAGAAAGTGTATTTTGCTTCACAGTGAAATTATATTAAACTTAACTTAATAAAATCTGCTTTTTAAAATTCTTAGGTAATTTATATGTTAGTGCCATACTGCCATGCTTATTCTAATTCTCAAAGTTTGGGGTAAGTAGATAGAGGAGGACTGAAAGAAACAAATGCTTTTTTATGGATGAGTCAGGTCATTGCTGTCTGACAGTACTTTAAATAATGATGGAAATGTTCTATATCTGTGCTGTCCAAAAAGGTAGGCCTTAGCCACATGCGGCTATTAAGAACTTGAAATGTGACTAGTGTAACTGATAAACTAAACTTTTAATTTTACTTAATTTTCATCAATTTAAAAATTAACAGCTTTATTGAAGTGTATATGACATACAATAAATTGCATGTGTTCAAAGTATAAAATTTGGTAAGTTTTAACATTTGTATACACCTGTGAAACCACTGCCATAATTAAGATAATGAACATATCTATCACCTCCTAAATTTCTTCATAACCCTTTGTAATCGCTCCTTCCTGTCCTTTCTGCCCTCATATCCCCAGGCACCCATTGGTAATGTTATCTGTCACTATAAATTAGTTTACTTTTTCTAGAGTTTTATATAAATGCATACATATATACAGATACTCCTTGACTTACAATGGAGTTATGTCCTGATAAACCTGTTGTAAGTTTAAAATACCTTAAGTCGAAAATAAACTACCAGATATCATAGCTTAGCCTAGCGTAACTTAAATGTTCTCAGAACACTTACATTAGCATACAGTTGGGCAAAATCATCTAACACAAAGCCTATTATATAATAAAGTGTTGAATATCTCATGTAATTGATTGAATATTGTATTGAATGCATATTGCTCTCATACCATTGTAAAGTCAAAAAACCATAAGTCAAACCATCATAAGTCAGGGACCTTCTGTATATATTTTGGTCTGGTTTCTTTCACTCAGCATAATTAATTTGAAATTTATCCATGTTATTGTTATATCAATAGTTCATTACCTTTTATTACTGAGTAATATTTTATTGTATGGATATACAACGATTTGTTTACTCTATTTAATCGCACAATGATAGACATTTGAGTTGTTTCCATTTTTTAGGTATTACAAATAAAACTGCTTTGATCATTCATGTACAGGTCTCTATGTGGACATATGCTTTCATTTCTCTTCCATAAATACTTAGGAATGGAATTGGCATTGCTATATGGTAGTCGTATGTTTAATTTTTTAAGAAATTAAACTGTTTTCCAAACTGGTTGTCCCATTTACATTCCCACCAGCAGTGTGGATGTTCTAGTCGTTCCATATTCTCATGAACTTGGTATGATCCACCTTTTTTGCATATTAGACATTATCTTAGATGTGGTTTTAATTTTCATTTCCCTAATGACTAATAAGGTTGAGCATCTTTTCATGTGCTTATTTGCTGTCTGTATATCTTCTTAGGTGAAGTCTTGTTCAGATCTTTTGCTCATATTTTTATTGGATTAGTTTTTGTCATATTTCTTGTGTATATAATTTGAAAATATTTTCTTCCAGTATGTGACTTATCTTTTTATTAATAGTGTCTTTCAAAGTGCAGAAGTTTTTATATTTTGGCAAAGTTCCATTTATTATTTTTTTCTTTTATAGTGATTTTTGGTGTCATATCTAACAAATCTTTGTCTAACCCTAGGTCTCAATGATTTTCTCCTATGTTTTCTTATAGAAGTTTTATAGTTTAGGTTTTAGAATTTAGGACTATGGTTTTTTTAGTTAATTTTTGTGTGTGGTGTGAGATAGGACTGAAGTGTTTTTTTGGTAGTGGTGGTGGTTTCTTGCCTGTGGATACCAAATTTTTCCAGCACCGTTTGTTCAAATGCTTCTGCAACTGTTGAAAAATAATTGGTCATATATGCATAGGTTAATTTCTGGACTCTTTATTATATTTCATTGATCTTTGTGCATATATTTATGCCAACACAACACTGTTTTGATAATTACAGCCTTAAATCAGGTAGTGTTAGCAATCCAACTTTCAAAGCTATTTTGGCTTTTCACATTTTCACGTGAATTTTAGAATCAGCATGTCAATTCCCACCCCCTCCTCCAAAAAAGAAGAAAAGAAAGAAAAAGAAAATTTGCTGGCATTTCAATGGGCATTGCATTGAATTACAGATCAATTTAAGGAGAGTTGGCACTTTAATATTGTGTCTTCCAACAAATGAACATAGTATTTTTCTCCATTTACTTAGGTCTTTAATTCCTCTCAGCAATGTTGTGTAGTTTCCAGTATACAGGTCTTGCACATTTTTGTCACGTGCTTCCCTACATATTTCATGTTTTGATGTTGTTATAAGTGATATTGATTTTTAGATTCGAATTTCCAGTTGTTGCTAGCATATAGAAATACAATTTTTTTTTTGTATGTGTGTTGATCTTGCTTATTACTACTGCTTTTTTGTAGATTCCATCATATTTTTTAACATAAATAATTATATCTCATGAATAACGACAGTTTTACTGTTTTACTTCTTCCTTCTCAATCTAGGTGCCTTTTATTTTTTCTCCTTCCTTCGTGCACTGTGTAGAACCTCCAGTAAAAAGTTGAAAAAAGCAATAAGAGCAGGCATCCTTGTTTTGTTTCTTATCCTAGTCTTTTTCTTATCATTGCTCTTCTGTACATACATGTCTTTTTCTTCTGTCTTCTTTCAAGATTTTCTTTTTATCATTGGTGTTTTAAGGAATTAGATTATGAGACATGGTGTGGCTTTCTTCATATTTCTTGTGCTTGGGGTTTGTTTTATTTCTTGGACCTGTGTGTGGGCCTAGTTTTTATCAAATTTGGAAAAATTTCAATCATTATTTTAAAAATATTTTTGGTCTTCCCCCTTCTCCTTTGAGGACTCCAATTATATGTATATTTGATCACTTGATATTGTCCCATAACTCATTGATGCTCTGTTCATTTTTTTGTCTTTATTCTCTTTGTTAAATTTCTGATATTTTCTATTGCTTTGCATTCAAGTTCACTAATCTTTTCTTCTAAAATGTCTAATCTCTTGTTAATCCCAGCCAATGCATTTTTCATTTCAGACAATTTAGTTTTCATCTCTAGAAGTTTAACTTGGGTCTTTTTTTATTTCTCCATGTCTCTATTTGACATAGTCAGTCTTTCCTCTAGCTTCTCAAACATATAAAATACATTCTTACTAACTGTCTCAATGTCCTTGTCTACTAATTCCACCATTTGTTTTATTTCTCAGTCAGTTTCAATTGACTGATTTTTCTTCTCATTATAGATTATGTTTTCCTGCTGCCTTGCATGCCTGGTAATTTTTAATTGAATGCCAAACATTATAAATTTTATCTTACCAGGTGCTAGATATTTTTGTATTCCTGTAAATATGCTTGATCTTTGTCCTAGGATGCCAGTAAGTTACTTGGAAATAGTTTGATCCTTTCAAGTCTTGTTTTTAAGTTTTGTTAGGCAAGATCAGAGCTGTATTAGTATAGGGATATTTTTTTCCTTTTTACTGATATAAGACCCTTCTTTGTACTCTAATCAGTGTTCTTGAATTATGAGATTTTCCTCTCTGTCAGGGAGAAAGAGGCACTATTTCCACTTCACACTTGAAGCGAACCCTCTGCAGACCTCCAGAGTTATCTCTCTGTGTAGCTCTCTCCTCTCTAGATTGCCCTGTGCACTGTCTAGGTACAGTAAGTGGAAAGGGCTTACCTTGCTGTCCTTTACTGCCTGTTACCAATGTCTTGAGTGTCATTGTTTTACATGTTAACTCTGTTTCTTCAGTTATTTCAGGCAGGATGGTCAATACACCCCCCATTACTCCATCTTGACTGGAGGTAGACGTTCCAGTTAACTTATATGCCACAAGCAGCTAGTGGCTAACATATTGGGCAGGGCAAAGTTAGATTATAATGCAGAATC